CACGTGAATTTTTTTAGTAATAAAAAACAGAACAGATAACATTGAATGGACAGAACGCTCTTTATCCCTGAATATTTAATAAAACAACCTGGTAACCGGAAAACTTTTAGAAAGATGATGCAAGAATACAACCTGAAAAGGAAAATATGAATTGCCTGCTGCACCCCTCCTTTATTTCCCCTTCAAACCTCCCCTGGATAATACATTAAAGAGAACACACCCAAGCCAAGAACTGATCATGAAAAGCGATCCCACACCATTGCAACTGACCAAAATATGCCTCAAGCAGTTAGGGCAGGTTTGCCTAAGCACCTTATTTCTTCTATATAATAGCACACTGCTTATTTACGTCATTAATCAAAGACACACACATACTGAGACCACCTTAAGTGACTGAATGAAGGCGGCTCATTACTGAATACATAATTATCTTCATCCAAGATATGTCTATTCTATTCTATTCTATTCTATTCTATTCTATTCTATTCTATTCTATTCTATTCTATTCCAGCCTGTTGTGCCGTTACGCTGGCATTCAGACTTGATTCAGTCATGATTTCCCTTCCCCCTCTCCCAGACAGACCCTTATTGTGGGGGAAGGGCTGTTTTAGCAGCAGTCAGCCAAGGGCCCTCCAGCGTAGCTGACAAGCATGTCTGTCTACAGTATGCGGATGTGTCTGTGTGTGTGCATGTGTGTGTGCGGGCATGTGCATCATACCACATGACATGGGTATTTTTTGATAACAAGGCAAGAGACTGTATACTTAGCTCAAATATTAATGGTTTAATTTATTATTATCATTGTTATTATTATTATTATTATTAATATTATTAATTGTTGCTATTTCTCTTCTGTCAGATACTTTAACACAACAGACGATGCAGCTCGAAGCACACAGTGACTGGTTTTATTGCATAACACTTTATTTTATTAAATTACTGTAAGTGTTCCATGGTTATTAGTGTAACTGGTTTTGTGAAACTGTTATGTATGGGAAAAACACCAGCATGTTTAGGAGTTATCAGTTATTTTTATTGTTGTAATTAGATGCATCTTGTTGCCCTTTTTCACTGTCTGACGTCTACTTTTAAATAAATGAGGAGTAGGTGTATAAAAAAAACCTGCATTGATTGTGGAAACAAAGTGAGCGTGTACAAGTGCATAAATCCATAGTGGATATCATGATACGACTGCTAACTATCTCCTTAATGAAATGCAGATATATGCATTTTATAGCAGCTTAATTAGTCGTGTTTTAAAACTAACCTTACACTGCAAATAAACAGTTATTTCAGCTGCCAGTTTTAGCACCCACTGCATACTTCATATCTTAATGTCCTCATGATTGTGAAGCAATAATATCTGTACTGTTTGGTATAATCTTGCAAATTTCTTAAGATTTCCAGCACTTCTGTGTGTCTGTGTGTGTGTTAAGCTCCTCTAAGCTGTATGTAGCCTGTTCAGTGTGCAGTCTCATGCCTGGCTCAGCTGAGTCCTCAGTGGGAGATGTGCAGGCAGCAGTCAGGGCAGAGCAGAGTGGAGCAGAACAGGCTGATTGCTGGAGTCAGTGGCCCAGTAAAACCACAGCAGGGGGGGATAAGAGCTCTGCCGGAGGGGCAGAGAGAGGTATGACTGTATCTCTGTCTGTCTGTCTGTATATAATATATCCATCCTGAGCTAAACCCAAGGGGGTAGATGGTGTTGTTGTGGTGATGTGACTATATGACTATTTATCTGCTTTCTGTGATTTACACCCCCCCCC